GGCCCTGGGGAGCGCCCGGCCGCCCCGCGTGAGGCGCTCGGGGTCGGGCTGCCGAGCTGCGGCGACGCGCGGACACCTGTCCGGAGCCTGAGGCGCTTTTGTGTGGTTGCTGCTCTTGGGAGCCCGCGAGAGGAGGATGGAGCGTAACGGAGTAGGAAAAGAAAAAAGAAGAGGGAAATACCAGAGTACAAATATAAATGCCAAAGGCTCCTTTAGACAGTCTGCCATGTTCTAACTACTGTGCGATCACCTGCTCTACAGCTAGAAGAGCAGTACAAGCAAAACAGCACTGATGATGGGGACGAAAGCGTTGCAGAAACATGAACGTCAACCCAAGTTCAGCCACTGTCCCGCTTGAAGATTCACTGCAGGCATTTATTCTTTAAAGGATCGTATCAGACTGGTAGAAAGGGCTGACAAACTGTCTATGAAACTCCAGAGATTGGGCCTCTGTAACCTGCACCTGCTGTGTGCTCCTTATGCATCTTAGAGATCATCCTCCCTGTTTTGGGTCACTTACATAGCAGTCTAAAGTCTCCAGGAGTGTACAATGAAGGTGCCCAACGCGTTAATAGACCCAGTTGTAAGGCTGTGGTGTCAGAGAGCAGGTAAGAGGGTAAAGACCATGGATTTGTCCCTTTACAACACTAAACAGCCCATGTAAACCCAAGGCCTTGCTACAATATGCAGCAAAACATAAATCTATTACAGTAACTCTCTCTTTTCCTTTCTTTAGCAATAGTCACAGAAGTAAATCACACGTTCCGGGAATGTGAGCAGGGCTGTGCAAATGCAGCCCGCACAACAGCAGCGAGAACGCGCTTGCTAGGAGGGAGTCAGGCATTACATGCTGTTTAGCTGCGGTGCTGCTGTAAGGCAGGAGCAATCAAGAAAACCAAATCAACAGTTAAATGACTAGCGGCAGGTTTTACCTACAGATCGTACAATCTGTATGGTTTAATTAATAATTTTATTGATTTTGACTTTCTTAACTTGCATGTTTTTTTTAAACATGCTACACTTTTATTTTCCCTGAAGATTGATACTAATATTAGCACTTGCTGTTTCACTGATGAGTCATGAATGAGAAACATAATTGTATTTATTTTACTGACATTATAAAAGTAGATGTTTAGAATAGATGCGATCTGCACAGGATGGGTCTTCACAGGCATAAAAAAAAAAAAAAAGAAAAGAAAAAAGCTCAGACCAGGAAAGAAGGATTTCTGCCTTTAAATGACACGTTAAGATCCAGAAGCTATAGGTGGAGGAATACTATTTCTTATATGGACAACAAGTTGACCATGAGGCAGCAGTGTGCCCTCGTGGCCAAGAAGGACGATGGGATCCTGGGGTATGTTAAGAGTAGCATCTCCAGCAGGTCGAGGGAGGTGATCCTGCCCCTCTACTCAGCCCTGGTGAGGCCGCATCTGGAGTACTGTGTCCAGTTCTGGGCTCCACAGTACAAGAGGGATGTGGAGCTTCTGGAGAGAGCCCAGCGCAGGGCTACGAGGATGATCAGGGGCCTGGAACATCTGCCCTGTGAGGAGAGACTGAGGGAGCTGGGCCTGTTCAGCCTGGAGAAGTCTGAGAGGAGACCTGAGCAGTGTCTGTAAGTACCTCAAGGGAGGCAGTGAAGAGGATGGGGCCAGCCTCTTTTCGCTGGTGACCACCGACAGAACTAGAGGTAATGGCCACAAACTGAAGCATCAAAAGTTCCACAGGAACTTAAGGAAAAAAACTAGATGATCTCTAGAGGTCCCTTCCAACCTTAAGCATTCTATGATTCTATGATTCTATGTACACTGACACTGCAGGCTTTATAGGGGAAAGAGGCCTTCAGAGATGCTGCAAAAGCCTGTGTTTGGAAGGGTCATCCTGTGGATACGAAGTGATGCGGACTTTATACCCTCTTAGCTTTTCTAATCTTATTTCACTGTAACCGTGGTCATAAGAAGTCTCCACTGGCAGCCATAGGCAAGTCAGACTGGCTTGTGAAGTGCAGGCTCGGCGCTTACAGCGCTCCCATCAAACCTCGGCCTAGGCTTAAGGCAGGTTCTAGTGCAGCCTTGGGAAAAGGCCCTGAGCACGCTCACGCCTCCGTCACCTTAGTGTGCTTCGAATGGCAGTGGCTGGAGATGAGCTTTGGGGTCACACTGGCTCGAAGCTCTGTGGTCAGCCACATGCCATCTCGGTGCTTTGCCTCCATTACCCTACCCTCTTAGAAAGACAGTGCATAGTACTGCTTGCATCTCCATGCTGTTAATTCTTCCATTTATCTTTATCAAACCTCTCGTTATTTGTTTCTTTTCTGACTGTTGTTACCATTTATTATCATAAGAATCACAGAATCACGGAATGGTTAAGGTTGGAAGGGACCTCTAGAGATCATCTAGTCCAACCCCCCTGCACAAGCAGGGACACCTAAAGCACGCGGTGCTGCGTGGCATCCAAGGGGGTTTTGAAGATCTCCAGAGGAGACTCCGCAACCTCTCTGGGGAGCAAGTGTTTAGTGCCCCTGTTCTTTCCCAGCCTCCTTCATCTATGAGACATAGATGAGCAAAGCTGCACAGGCCAGGTGAGGATGAATCATGTCAGTGACTCTATTGCCAGGTAAATCATGTTCAGGTGTGCTTCATCTGACCTTAATGCTGAAGCCCTTGGTCAGCAATGAGTATCTTTATAAGGGTACAGAAATTTAAAATATTTGTGCAAGTGTGTTTCATCTACTGGGTAGTTGAATGTTAGGAAGAACTAAAACAGAGAACAGCCAACAGAGATGTTTGTTTAGATCAAGAGGAAAGAGCTTATGAGTATGGCACCTGAAGGTTGTATAGTTTCTGCCACTGTTTTAAAGGGGTCATAAAGGGATTTATGATAGAGGATGACGTTTGGTTTTAGCCACCAGTATGATTCTGTGACAACAAGAAAAGTAAAAATTGCATTCAGCGTTATTTTAATATCTGATGCTGTCTTACTTTTATTAAATCACTTTATTTTGTCCAGGCTAAATTATATCAGTATAGTACCAAGTCAGTCGGTTATTATGCTTTAAAATAATGTCCAAGCTTTGGTCCACTTTATTTGGTAATACATAAGTGAGATATGGGTACAAAAATGCAGTGTTATCCCTTTAAGTTAGCACAAACATCCAGTAAAAGAATAAATAGAAAGTGCACTTTAAGGCCTCGATCCTGCGAATAGAGCTACGATGTGGAGCCCTTGCAGGCACATGTGCACGCACACTGGTGCGTGCTCCGGCGCATCGTCTACATGCAGCATCAGGGCCTTTACATTAGTAAAAGTATAGCCAAGATTATGAACTACAGGTCACTAGTTTCTAGCCTCCAGCAGATTGCATTTATAGTTGTAATTGTTTATGAGTTTTTGAGTAGGGTCCCCGAGGTGTGTCACACAAACAAATAAAAAGGGCTCTGGAAAGGTGCATAGAGACACTTGGGCTTACAGCCGCAATTCACCTTGGGGTTTAGCTCTGGCAGTTGCCTGTTTGGAGGAAATGGCTATTAATCTTACTGAGAAAATGTCCTTAATATTTGGAAATGGTTGAGAGTGCTAAGCACTTATCTGTATATACTATTCGGCATTTATATTTTCTGTTCTCTCTCTCTATATATATGTATATATAATTGCTATCATAGTGATTTTTTTTCTATCCATATTTATGTTCCATTCTTTCTGAATCCTGTTGAGAATTCTTGTATATTAGAGCTTATGGTTCCCCTCCATGGTGTTATTTTCTACAGGTCAATGGTTCTTATCCTAGAGACTTGACAAGCTAAAATTTGTTTTAAGTCTTATAGCAATTTAAACAAGAAAATTATTATTATTAACAATAATAATAATAATAATAGACAACTATTTTCACAATTAACTATAGATTGTCATTTTTCAGAAGAGGGGAGGGTAATCAAATTTTTGATTTATTTCAGTATTTTGTTAAATTTAATTCTTAGATTTCTTACAGAACTTACTATAATTCTGTCCCATTTGACTTTAATCTTAATCTTTGCCCTCCTACTTTCTTTTCTTATGTTTGCTATCTTTTATCTTAATTTGATATCTTGCCATTTTTGCTATATAATTAATGCTCACATGATTTTTGGCCATTTCAGAAAATAAGATGTGAATTTAGATTTACATGCTTTCATTTCAGTATAAAGTTAAACAGTTTAATGCTAGGGAAAATGATGGTCTATTCTGGATACAAATTCTGCTGTATTTATTCTTTTTCATTACCAGTTCAAGTATGCATAAAAATTAAATTCAAGTGTTCTCCATATAAGAGTGGTAGAACTGGTCTTAAATGATTTTTCAACCTTTTTTTTAAATTTTTTTTTAATGTTCAAAATTGAAATGTGGAAGATGCATTAGCCCTCTGAAAGATACCTAGAAATGGGAGGGCCGCAATTATCTTTTATTAATTGGTTGTGAAATACCTAACTCAGTGAGGCTATAATCTTGAATCTTTTAATCCTTATTGTAATTTGAATAAATCATAATAATAAAATGCCCTACTTGATCAGTGGTCTACAGACACGTGCTTGCTTGGACAGACACAATGCTCTGGTTCTTTTCCTTATGGCTTGGTTTTGAAGAGTATATCCATGTAAGCTCTGTCCAGATCCATGGATTTCTTCTGCATTGCAGCCCGCACCTGCTCAGGGAGCAGCCTCCTATTTCTCATCTCTCCCAAGACGATATCATTCTTGTTCCGTGGCCTCTGGGCGTCCTCGAGGGCGCTGTGCACATCCTGCAGCTTCATCTGGAGCCAGTCCTGTCTTTCCACAGCGTGCCGATGTTCTCCAAGGTTGTGCATGAGCTGCATCTCACTCACTGATCTTTTCCTGTACACAAGGGAAGTAAAGATAGAGACTCATCACTGCCCTCCTGGAATTCGTGGTCTTCCAAAGTTAAAAAAAAAATGTTTGAGAACTTTTGGAAGGTACTGAATCCAGAGCTGTAGGACCTGTCTTTCTAATTTATAAGGGATAGAGTGACATCTGCAGAAGAGTAGATGGCGGTTCGTTTGTGGTAATAGATTTATCAATGAGAAGGCAGCAAAAATGTAAAGTAGTTCTGTTTTGCAACAGTGTTGTTTGGCTACAATAAGTTTAGCACTGATTCTAGCTGTTGTAGTTGAGCTCAGGGCTTATATGATAATAGGTAACCAATTAATAAAATTATGATACTTAATCATAAGTAGTTTTCTGTGAACACTATAGTTTAGGAAGCATGATTTCCTGTGGATTTGTGTCTCGAGGCTAACTGATGATAATGTTTCAGCAAGTGTATGTTCGAGCTGAAGAGTCTCCCAGAATTGTGCCTTTTACAAAGATGCTTTCCTGTGTAGACCACCAAGTGTCTGTCAAGGGAAGCAAAATATCCAAAGTGCTTATATGACTTTTCTTTCTATAGTCAGCTGCCTATTTTTCAAAAAAATGCATAAGGACTAAGTATATTTGATATCTCTACAGTTATACATAAAGACAGAACTGGGCCAGTTTGTCTTAATGTGGCCAAGGGATTCAAAAATGGGGTTGGAAGGACTCACACACACACACACACAAACTCATATGTAGCCTGACAAATTGACCATTTTCTCACGAACAGCTGAAATCATCTTCCAAACTTCAGAGGTTTATGATTATGTACTTACATCATCGGTCGTCCATCAGACTTCATAAAAAAGCAAATGGCATATAAGATGATTGCAGTCTTGGCCACATTTTTAATAGAAGTCATTTTGTCTATAAAGACAGAAATGAATACACATGTAAATGTGTATTTGAAATAATTTCTGTTAGTTAAAGCAGTTTAGCTTAGAGAAAAAGACATTAAAAAGTGACATTGAAAAATATTTTTTTCTCATGAAGTGTGTTAGAGCAAGTTAGAAATGTGTTAGAGTTATTTATAATACTAAATATTTTGTGAACAACTTCCTGTGAATTTAGGCAAGTCTTGAAAACTTCTGACAGCCTCAGCTGCCCTGTATGATCCATGTATCAGTCCCCATCTCTTTGACACTCGAGTGCAAAACAACATGTCCTTGCAATAGCATTATTAATATTCAGAAACCATTTATACCCGATAAGCTCCAAATAGGTGGAAAAAGTTGTATATAGCTATGCAGATGATCTATTTCTTGTGTGTCACTGAGTTGAGTTGCGTATTCTGTAGGATGACAAACTTGATGCTGTTCTTGACCATTCTTGCATAGTGGCATAACTCTCCTGGGTTATATTACTCGCCATTGAATTATGTAAGAGAAATCAGAATTGAGTCTCACTTTTTTTTTTTTTTTGGTGTTAATACAGCTTTGCCCATGCTAATCCACTTTGCTCAGTATATCAGCAAAATTGTCACCTGGGATAGACTTGAAGAATACTTGAGACTGATGATGCTACAACAGTCAGAAATAAAATGGTCCAAATTTCAGTTTCCAATTTAGATTTTCAGTATTGGCAGCCAGAAAAAAAGGCATATTTTTGTTATAATGTATGCAGTTTGTGACAGAAATAACTGAGACATAATAAATGCACAACTCTACAGTGCAATTTTTGCGGTATTTTTACAGATTTAGGCTAGGTCAGAAAAGTATTTGCCACACAATATCTTGCATGAGAATATGACATGCTCCTAGCAGTCTTTCTGACACAGTATTCTGAATTCAGGAGTTGGATTCAGCTAAGGAGTTAAGATATTTCTAACTCTCTCAGATTTCTTAATTTCACAAATCTAGTTCAGATAATAGAATAGTTTGATCATGCTTATATTCATGTTATGCTTAAGATAGTCAGAAAAGAAGCTAAAGTAAAAACTGAGCAATGAATCAATGATAAAATGAGTCTTCTAGAGAACTCAGAAATAAAAAGTATACTTACCGGACACTATCTTAAACAGGTTTCTGGTTTGGGTATGTCTGCAGCTGACTGTCGCTTGATGTCAAGTATATTTAAAGACCACCGAATTGGTCTAGTGGACCCCTTAAATGTAACTTGGAAATAGAGCTTCTAAGTAACTTAGAAGCCCTTTTATTGTCTCAGTTGATGTCACTCTCGACACACACCCTCCTGACCCTCATGTACCCACCCTCGGATGCTTTTGTTAATTGGGCATTTACAGAGAAAAGAGAGGTCTCAGCAAAAAGCAAGTATCCTGAGTAACTGCGAAGAAGTCAAACTTTTAAATCCAGATTCCCTATTATGCTTAGCATTGTGCACAAGCTAACATGGTCCCTGAAGCTGTAAAGATTTGCAGAGAAAACTTTGTCATGTTAAATGCAGGAAGTAGAATTTAAGATTATGCAGTGGCGTTAGTGATCTATAAATACATGCTTAAAATATTGAACAGCTAATATTTGTAATAGCTGCAGGAAGTGAGAATAGTCATTTTACACCAGGTAGTAAGTTTATTGGAGGAAGAATGTACTGGAGAAGGGCTGAAACCCTGAAGTGATAAAGGATCATTTCCAAGTGTTTTAATTAATAGCTCATTACAGTAGAAAGGTTTTAAAATATAGCACTAGCCTCTCACTATCCTGTCACATATGCCTATGGATATCCCTGAATTGTTCAAACAAGTTAGATATAGTGGAGGCATTTGAAGAGGCTGTGATATAAATTAGTACTTTATTATTTTGGAATAGAAAGATAGAACTCTTTGTGTACATGCTGAGAAATTAACCTGTGAATAAATCAGCAATGCTTCCTCTGTGTATGAAGAAAGTATTTTTGGAGGCCAGTTGCTTTTCCTATATTATATATTTCATATATATATATGAAATATATATATATTTCATATAATATATATATGGCATGCTTCTCCAGAAAAAAAAAAAAAGTTGACATATAGATATTTTAGTTCCTTATTGGAAGCTTTTGTTGCTTTACCAGAAACACAGTTTAGGCTATGCTGTATACCTGTAGTATTTAATGAAGAGATAGAAAATATATTTTATAATATTAATTTACCCAGGTGGTATTCTCATGGGAGGAGGAAAGGGAACAAAATAATTTTATAACCGGAGGCCCCATAAAGCTCTAAGAAGAGCTCATGATTCTCTCAATAATCAAAGAAGAAGCTACTCAAATAATTTAAAGTAAAAAGGATAGAGATGGTTTCCTGTGTGATACAGTCACTTACCAATGATCTTCCAGCTACACACAGAAAAAAAATACAGAGTTTATGGAGACAGTACATTTTGCTAGGAGATCTGTATGTGATCTGGCTGCTGGCAATGCTAATCTAAGGGGTTTCATAAATAAAAATGCATGATGGGTATGAAATGCCAGGAAAGGATTTGAAAAATCTCTACATAGCTTGCAACGAAAGACATCATTTCTTAGATTCAACCATCATAACCATACACCAAACCTTCAAAGCAAGGCCTCGAGGCCTCAAGCTGTTTGGAACCTCTAGCATATAACAGCAAAGCCTTAGCTAAAGGCTAAGCATTATAAACTCAAGTGCTTGCATAAAATAAAAAATAAAAAAGATGTTTTCATATACACGGGGAGGAACTGATTGCAAAAAAAAGGCAATAAACCATTAGCAATTGCAAAATGAGTATGAGCCACTCTGGATTGCAGAGGTTATTCTTTTAGTTGTGGTTTTGTCCCTTACAACTCACATGTAAACCCTAGAGAGAGACCCCATTCTAGGGATTTGAATAAAATTGAGTGAGAGAAAACCCAATAGTGTGATCTTATAATTCTAAATACTCTGCTAACTTCATACAAATATAGTCTGTACTGTCAGTAGCTGCTCTTAAAAAAGATGTAGTTTTAGCTAGCTCATTTACTGTATACCTAGTCTTTATGACAGTAGTGAAGGAGGATTTCTTGTTCAATGTCATTTTTATTCAAAGGTTGCTCCTTAAATGTCAAACAAAGATTGATAAACTTGCAATGTGAAAGACATTTTTGTGTGTGGAAAAATACTGTAGACAAATCAGAATTGTGCTATTTCCCTCAGACAAGAGAACATACAGAAAATATTAAAAATTATGAAATATATACCCCAATATTTGCCATCTAAGAAGACCTGTAATAGTGGTTATAGACTTTAAATTAGAGTTCTAAGTTGGCATAGTTTATTTGTATATGCAGACATTACTTTTTTGGATTATTACCCCTGATATAAAGAAGTGTTGTTATTCGGAAAAAACACCGCTGATACCTGCATTTGTTATCTCTATCTGCTGAACACGGCATATCAAGTGTGGGAATGACAGGTAATGGACCAAATGAATGTCATTCTTTTATGAAATACTGTAATTGTGATCATTTTTCCTTAAATGCAACGGATCCACTGTCTAATGGTCATTAGAAAATAGTATAGAGCTTTTCTAGAATATGCTTAAGAAAGATGGAGATTCATGTTCAGATTCAACAGCAGAACCCAGAAAAGCAGTGCCAGCCCTTGCTGAAATGCTGTAGGTAGGTTAGGCTTAAAACCCAACTACTCAAATATATATTTAGAAGTGTTATAAAGGAGGTGTATAAACCCTTATGAAAGAATGAAAATGTAGAATATTATCTGCACTACAAAAAAAAAAAAAAACAACCCATAAAATCATACACATACATGTAAGACTAGGCCATAGAAATAAAATGGCAAAATCTGAGTTAAAAAAAAATATAGTATGAAAATATCCTCTGCCAGTGTTTCTGATAGTCTGAGATTCCAAAATCTGCAAGTGATGAATGAGCTGCTGCATCAAATGGTGCATACAACTGGATAGAGCAGTCTAGAAACTATAAAGCATTACGTGTCTACCAGACAAAGGAGACTGATTCAGAGATTGATTGCAAACTTTTGGGTTGTATGTTGCATTATCAATACTGAATTTTCTTTTCCTTTGGAAGAGGGAGAGACTTTTTATGAGTCTTGGGTTGAAATGTAATAATGGTTGGAAGATTCTGGTTCAAGTTTATGATTATTTCTTCTAGTATGTCAGTCAACTGCCTCAGGTGAGAGTGAGTTCTCATTGATCATTATCAAAAAACAAGGAATGAGACAGTATAGCGATATATTCCAGATTGGATCGTAATCTAATCTGTGACATGAGGCTTTATAGCCGTAGGCATTAAACAAGGGAATGGCATTGCTGTAGAGGGCTGAAAAATTGAAAATGCTGGAATCATAGTATGAGAGAGAAGAGCTTACTGTAGCCTTTTCCTCTGAAAAGCCTTTGCCTTGATCGGTCATAGAAATACTCTTCCCTGACCTTCCCTTATAGATTGAATAGATACTTTAATGAGCTGTGCATGAAAAGCTCCTCTTGCTGCTCTGATTGCAGGTTGCTTGCTCACCTTGCTTTGAATTTGTGCCATTGAGTGTAATCAGACTTCAGGCTGAAAACAGGGGGAAGCAGTTAGACCTTACAGCCAGGTAGGTGAACAACAGCTGTCTTATGAATATACTGAATTCTGTACAACCTCCATCTGGTAATCTATCCATTCTGTCAGAAAAAAAAAAAAAAGGATTATATTGCACCTCAAAACGAAACACATCCTGAGGTACATTACTAAATTATGGTTGGATGACCCACTAATTTCTAGTATCATACCGTAAGTGACCAGAGTGTATTTTTCACAAATTAATTGTGTAATCTAGTGTGTTGCTTTAGAGATCTTCATACTCTAAGTTTGAGTTAAGGTTTAAGCCCTGAAGCCAGATTATTTCCATGTTTTTTACAAAATCAGGCTTTTGCCACCCTGGCTGTTTCCGTGGGCAGTCCC